ATCTTTGCCTACCTTAAAATCTTGAAGATTTTTCTCCTATGTTTTCTTCTAGATCTTTTCTAGCTTTCCCTTTTATGTTTGGGTCTATGGTCATTTTGAGTTTATTTTTATGTATGGTGTGAGGTAGGGACAGAAGTGGAGGTGTACTTTTTTCCATGTGGGCCAGCTGTACCAGCAACTGTTGAAAAGACTGTCCTTTAGGACACTGGGCTTTTCAAAAGCTCTCAGGGGGTTCTATGGAATTGTGTTAACAGCTGTTAATCCTGAATTAGTCATATTCTGAGGGGGTCCTCCCAGGCCCAGCCTCTTCTGCTGGTACTCCCCTTCCTTAAGTCCATCACACCCAAACAGGTAACTTTACACCTGGGCAAGATCTTTGACATCACATTGTCTAGCTAATTGTTCGTTTTCCTTTTTATTAAAGCTATACATGGACACAGTTTAATCATTCAGCAGGTTACAAACTTAGCTACATAAAACATCCTTCCCCATCCTCTTTCCTCTCATGTGCCCCTCCCCAAAAGGCAGCTACTGCCAACAAACATTTAGCTGACTGAGTGAAATCATGATTGAAAACCCCTTCTCTATCCTCCCTCATGCTCCAAACCTCAACCTGCAAATAAATACATTCCACACACGTTCCCCACACTCGCGAGCTCTGCACACATTCCACACCCCACCTCGACACACCACACACCCACTTTCTATACACACTACACACCCACCCACGTGGCTAACACTATTGTATTCTCCAAGGGCTTTAACAACAATCGTCTTAAAAACAGCCGGAACATCTGGAGAATGCCCAACCATGTTACTATGCAAATGAAAAGCAGTGAAGTAACAGTTTCAACCTATGATGAATTTATCAAAAAATAAAGAAATGAAAACAGCCCCATACTGATCAAGGTATGAGGAAAACAGTACCCTTGCTGCCTGTGGCAATACAGATTGCTACAATTTTCTGGAAATACTTATCAACCTAGGAATATGGACTGGAAGTCTCAAAAATGTTCATAACCTTTCACTTAGTGATCCTATTTTTGGAAATACAAAGGAAATTATCACAAAGGAGAGAAGCAATATGAATAAGGAGTCTCCCTCTGGTGTTACTTATTTATAACAAATATATGGAAATAACACAAAAGGTCAGCAATGGGGGCAATTACAGTGCATTTGTTTTATGTGTTAACATGTATCACTACATCTGTTTGATGCATTAAAAATGACAAATACAGGGGCACATGGGTAGTCTACTGAGTATCCAACTCTTGGTTTCAGCTAAGGTCATGATCTCAGGGTTGTGGGACTGAGCCCTGTGTCGGACTCCATGCTCAGCAAGGAGTCTGTTTGAGGATTCTCTCTCCCCCTCTCCCTGCCCCTCCCCCCACTTGTGTGCATGCTCTCTATCTCTCTCTCAAATAAATAAATAAATCTTTTTAAAAAATGACAAATATGAAGACTATGTGGCATCTCTCAAATACTCATACTGTGAAGAGAAAATAGTAGAACACACAACTTGATCACTGATTAAAACCATCTAATCAAGATGGATGTAAACAGTCAGTGGGAGTACCAAAATAATAAAACGGGTTATATTTTGGAAAGAGTTGTCTATATTTGCTGCTCCCCATTCCTCCAGCTTCTTTCAAACTCACTGTAGTGAGGCTCGTGCCCCAAGTCCTTGTCCAAAGCTGCCCTCCCAAGTCGGGTCTTCTTGGTACCTGACCCATCAGAAGCATTCAACAGGACTCAGGATCCTCTCCTTGATGCGCTTCCTTCACATGGCTGCCAAGATAGCCTGGTTTTCCTCCCTCCTTCCTGGTCACTCCTTAGAGTCGCCGCTGGTTTTTCTCTTCTCTGCATCCCCTTACTGTCCGAGGACCTCAAAGCTCATTCCTTGGTCCTCTTCTCTGTCTTTGATGTACTCCTCTGATGATCTCAGCTAGTCTCATGTCTTTAAATACTACTTATATGCCAACAACTCCCAAATAACTATCTTTAGCCCAGATCCCTTTATCAAACTGACCAGCAACATCTTAGATGTGTAACAGGCATGGAAGACTCGACATGCCCAAACTCTTGTTTTCCTTCCTAAACTCAGTCCTCTTCTAGTGTTTTTCATTCAATCGATGACACTCCATCCTGCCAGTTGCTCAGGCCCCATGAGTATCATACATTCCTCTTTCTTTCATGCTCCATATACAATCTACTAGGAAATTCTGCTGGCTCTATCTTACAAATACATCCACATCTGGCCACTTTTCACCACCTCCACCACTATGGCCTTGGTCTGGGGCACTGTCCTCTGTCACCTGGACTACTGCAATCATCTCTCACAAAATTCTCTGCTTCTGTCCTTGCCCCGCTAAGGTCTATTCTCAGCAAAGCAGTCAGAGTGGCCCTTTCAAGACATAAAGCAGATCGTGCCACTCATCTGCTTAAGACCCTCCAATGGCTCTCATCTCACATGGAGCAAAAGCTAGCGCCCTGAAGGCAGACCACCACTCCATCTATGCCCTGCCACTCTCTAGCCTGATGTCCTCCTCCCAGCTTCCTCACTCACTCTGCCATGCGCACATCTGCCTCCTTACCATCCTGCGCAAGCTAAACGTGACCACACCTCAGAGTTCTGGCTCTATCCATCCTCTACCTGAAATGCCCCCTTATTTCCCTCAAGTCTTAGCTCAAAAACTCAAATTCTCAACCAGGTCTTCTTTCAGAAGACCATGACCACTGTCCTTTCTCACCACCTTCAAATTCACCCCCGCATGCCTCAGTCCACACTCTGCTTTCTCTTTCTCCCCTAATACTGCCATTGATTAATATACCATATAATCTGCTTATTTGTGTTATTTTTTGGCTTTTCTGCTAACATGAAAGCTCTGTAAGGGCAAGAATCATTGCCATTTTGCAATTCTCACGTATCCCAAGTTGTGAGAACAGTGCCTAGAACATTAGAGGTGGTCAGTGAATATTTGCTGAATGAATGAATGCTGGATGGTAGATTTAACTTGTTCAACTGTATTGGGTCTATAACTCAAGAAGGTAATTTCAGTCCATGAACAATACACACATGGAGCACTGGTCCAAGTCCACGGCTCTGAATGCTTGGGCCTCAAGGGTCACATTGACATCACCTGTATCACTGGTTCCATCAGCAGAGGTGGTGTCCTCCATCCAAGGAGAACAACTTCAAAGCAAAAGGCACCCAGTAGCCTGATGGCTGGTAAAACTATCAGACAGAATTCTTCCTATGGTGGCCCCCATCTACTCACCTGCCCATACACCCCATTTCTGCCCTCATCCCCTCAAGAATAAACTCTGCCGCTGCCTGCTACTCCTTCCTCCCTTCTATTTCTCCAGCAACCCTCAGAAGCACCTTAAAATCCTGCTCTTACCATCAGATTTTAATGAGGGGGATGAACTCAGCAATTAGACGCAAGGAGAGGACTGGTTAGGGTCCCTGTACATCAGTGTTTAACCCAGCATACCGTGCAGCCCTCCAAGCATTAACCTCATTCCCTGTACACACTCAATTAGGCATATTTACTTCTCGTTATCCAGCATGCAATCATGAGTGCTAATAAAAACCTCTGCTACCCCCAACAAAGCAATTAATGCCATTAGCTGTCTCTCAGAAACTCTTCGACGAAGTCCGCTCATTCATCCATTCAGTCATGAGTTCATGCACGTATGCCCTTTCCTATTTAACAAAGGTCAAGTGCACACCTACTGTGTGCCTTATCAAGCACAGGCCTGGGACTGGAGCAATGAATTGAGATACTGTCTTGCTTTACAACAGGCAAATGGTTATACCACTGAGTGATGAGGGGCACGGCCGGGTGCTAGAGAAAACCCGAGGAGGAAATGAATGGGGAAGCACAACCTGGCTCCCTAGCACCAGTTCAAATCCCAGCTCTACCACGTTTTAGCTCTGAGTGTCAAGCAGCCAGTTACGACTTCTAAGTTCCATTTGTAAGATGGGGATAATCATCCTAATATCCCATAGGGGAGCTGGGAGGATTAAATGAGATGATGCCTATCAGGTTCCTTGCTGAGCACATGGCACAGAGTGTATGTTCAGTAAACAGGGGCTATTAGGTTTTCCTACCCTATTCTCGGCCTTCAGACTTGGCCAGGCACAACCCATTTCAGTCCATTCTCCTCTGGCCTGAAAGGACAAAGGGAATCCTACACTTCAGAAGTTGAGAGTGAGACAGGCATTGGACAAATGGGGCAGCAAATTTCAGAGGACAGGAAATAGTCCTGGCCAGGAAGGTATACAAAGGAAGGAGCCCAAATACACATCAACTCTCCCTGGCTGGGGGACCGTGACCTGGATTTCTCCACCTGCCAGACAATATGCTTGTCCCTTTCTCAATCTATTCCTCCATCATGGTCCCAGAGACAGAGACACTAGGAATCTGTACTCTAGATCAGGATACTTGGATCATGGACACAAAGTGAGGGTGGGCTGACCGGTATGATGGGCTGTAGACGCACACTGCTGCCAATCCACTATGGACGTACGTGTGCGCATGCTGCTAGCGACATGCTGGGGCTCTAGCTGCTCCAAAATGGCCTGGCAATGACAATGACACATCTGCCTTACATGGAAAAAAACTCTGTATGCACAAAAAATTGAGATATATTAAAAAAGTGAAAGAATAGATGCAAATACACACAAACATACAATTGGAACATTTCTGGAATGATACACAAGGAATTACCAGTGGCTGCTTCTGTAAAATTGGGGAGCTGGGTTGTGAGGGGGCAGTTTTAGATTCTATTTAAAACCCTTCTAAACGGTTATTTTGTACACGCATACATTATCTATCTATATCCACATTGACATCTCTATCTAACTCTATAGAAAACAAAACACAATCTGGCTTCAAGAGCCGCTGTCGGCAGCTCTTTCAGACTTGGGGTTGGGGGGGTGTGGAGGTAGAGGGATGGGGTGCAGGATGGGAAAGGGAGGCTGGCCAGGAACTTACTGGTGTTGTGGTCTATGAAGTAATCTCCAACCTGTGGGTCATACGCCTCTTCCCATCCTAGTGGCAACTCATCACTAATGCAGTCAGCAAAGGTGAGCGGTTTGGTGTACCTGGCAAGGGAGAGGAGAAACAGACTCCATCAGCCCACAGTCCCCAAGGCCCTGCAACTCACTGCTTCTCTCAGCCTCCCTGCTCCTCTGGGCTGGCCCAACAGAGCCACAGACGTCGCACTGACCCTGGCTCTGCTGTCCCCATGGCCCCCGTTGTCCCGGGAAGGTGAGTGCATGGCTGCAGCTGCAGGATTAGATCACCCAGGAGGAGGTGGGGAATCTGTATTCCGATCCCAACTTTGCCACTAATTTGGGAATGATCTGAGCAAGACGTCTTCCTTCTTTGGGCCTGTTTCTGCATCTCTGGGGGGTTTGCAGAAGAGGGTTCAAAGGTCAAGTCTTGCTTCTGGACTCAGACTCCAACCCTTGCTGGCTTCTTCATTGGCAACTCACTTGACAACCCCACCCCCAGTCTTCATTCTGGCTCTATCTCATGTTTGTCATGCCCACTTGCCCTCCTGAAAGCTGGCTTACAGCAGCATCTAGAATAGCAGATGTTCCATCCCTATGAATCTGGCCAAAAGAAGTATTAATTTGCCTCCTGAGCAGGTTCCCAAATGCATACACCCACCACCATCCTTCCCTAGACAATCCAGGCCAAACTGATCTTTTTATTTTTTATTTATTTATTTATTTTAAAGATTTTATTTATTTATTTGAGAGAGAGAGAATGAGAGAAAGAGAGGATGAGAGGG